TTTGATTCCATGGTCCAGTGGGATCAGCAACCGATTAGATTCTTCCCCTCGAACACTTTTGTGGATGCTGCTAGTACCATGGCCACTACGCATACTGTACAAGTACCTACTTATGTCCGACCGTCGCCTGGCAAACTTCCACCTGGACTCCTACCCGTCTCCCCTGCGGATGATATGCTCCGTTGTCAAAGATTACTCCGCCGCTGCCACAAGAATGATACCTATCTGCGGAGCCGAACGTCGTCTGCTGATAATCCACAGCCCAATGCGTTCTCCACCTCTGCCGGAATAGCGTCTATTACGACTACAGGACAAGTGCGATCTTGACCTCGCAACCGCGTTAGACGGGGGTAGCAGCCCGTACATACCTGAAGCGGTATTGGCAGCGATTGTTAGATACGGGGTCTAGTTCAACGCTAGGCAAATCCACTCCTCAAATCAGTTGCATCTTTGCAACGAAACAGACTCCATTCCAGTGCCCCACCACCAGCAGCATCTTCCCGCCGGCTCTAGCGTCGCTCCAACGGCCACTATATCTGCTATGATGGTGCGAGCAGCGCTTCTTGCATCCAGGGCTGGGATACCAAGCTGCCGCGGAGGTGTCCGCTATGCTCGCGGTCTGCGATATTGACGCTTGACGCACTCCAGCACTCGTATACCTACTAGGTACTGAGTCATGGAGAGTCATGGAGCCGCTGGCATTTAGCAGCCGAGTTTATTTCAATGATTTACTGCCGAAAACCACTCGTACCAAGTATCCACATATCTGTTCCTGGCGCAAAGCTCTTTCTTCGTTACCAGTTTGTCGTCCAATCCATCCAGGAGATGCGCATTTCGTTTTCCCAGTTGGCGCTTTTACCAAAGCCATGAGCCAAGTGAACTCAGCATTGCATGCACAGGTATTTCCGCATGTTCATTTGAATGCCTCAAGGTCCGTATTACTTTACACCAACTCGGCCATCGGTGGTGTGTTCCGAGGTCTTTCTCAAGTCCTTAATCCTGCTTGAATGCGCCATGTGCCATACCCCTGTCCCATGTCTTGTACGCCGGATTAACGGTGCGTCATACTCACGACCTACCCACGGAACTAGATTCAAGCAGTCGAAAGGTATCGCGTGTCTCCAGGGTCTCGGCGCGATGCATCGTCTTTACTGCCCCAGGTTGACCGAGTCAGGGGAACCCGCATATCAGAGTCCCATCGACTCTGTCGAGGACGTGGGAATATACATGTTCTCGTCGGCTCATATCTTTACCCGGTGCGGTTACTCTCAGTATGCATGCAAAGGTAGGACAATGAAAGGCCGTGCAGATGGACGCAGCCAAGGATGTTAGGATATGCCACCCCACATCGCACCGAAGCAGTCATGACATGAATCTCACGAGCACATGCACCTCCTTCCACCTCGCAACCCGTGGCAGCAAAGTAGCACTAGCCCGAGATTTCTCGTACCAGCCCCCTCCCCTTGTGAATGGAGGCTTGTGTACCTCATGGACACCACCAACATTTCTTTTCCCAAGAAGCCAGGGGTAACACTGCGGATCTATCCAGTGACACACACACCAAGGCAAATCCCATTTTGCGATTGCCGACACCTCCAGATCGTCACCTCAGGAAGCCCCTAAGGAGATGGATGGTACCAGTCTGGTACCGGAGGTTTTTTTCTTCTTTGGTTTTCCCCCCCTTCTTTACCCCCCCTTCTCTTTCATTGCATTTCCATCTTCTTTCCTGCCACTAACATCCTAGCGTCATGATCTGTGAAGCATTGCCCTTGTCGTTGCACAAGCCCTGCCGCTATTCGTCTCCTTGACAGCCAATGTTTGTCTGCTAAATTCCTGTTCAGGAACTGGAGGCGTCAATGGAGACGCTGCTGGCAAGGCGGGTTTCCCAAGCAATGTATTATCATGGACAGCCGTCTTCTTGGGACGTCATCGTACTGGCGTGGTAGGAACGTGCAAATTTGGAACTCGTAACCCCACTTGCTCGCTATGCTCAGTAGAACATGATGATATTCGAGAGTCATGTGTAGAGAAAGGGAAAGAATTGGATTAGATGATAAGACATGATGGCCGGGGTATGACGGCTGAGAAAGCCAGCTTTGTTGATGGCCTACAACAGAGGAGCTGCAATTTAGCGTCACCATACCCTGCAATGCAATGCAATGCATGAATTCTCGTTATCAACTACATTTTCCTTTGGATAGCGGGTACGCAATTATCTTGGATACCGGTCACGCTATTACAACAGTTTACTCAAAGCAAGGCATACAAGTCACGGAGTGGAAAGCCTTGCTTGCAGGTACGTATGAAGCCTGCAGTCTGCAACCTTGGATCTTTCCCCCCCTTCATCTCCACACCAACAAATCGTGTTGAAGGCTAACTTCTGACCGCTGCTCTTGAAGCTGCGGGTTTAAGCATCCTTGTTCATTCTGGCATCATTTGCATTTTCCGCGATGCTACCCCATCTTCTCATGAGACTCTCAACTTGAAAGAATAGCGTTGATCGAGCCCACATCAGGCTGCGCATCCAGCCATGTGACTGCGGGTCAACAGGTCGGTTGCCAAGGCAAGGATGCATCTCACAGGTTACCTAATGTTAAGTCTACCGGCCAGCTTTCCAGCTCTCAACGCCCGAGAGGGGCAAGTTGTTGATCTCTTGCGAGGCAAGGTGTCCTCCTCTTCTAGCCTCTCGCGCCACTGGCCGTTGTGGCCTTTGTTATTGGCTGCGAAGCCGGCTAGCATGCATTTCAAGACCAGCAGAACAGGATAGCCTGCTTCCTTGGCACATGTCGAGCTGTACGGAGTACTGGCAGTGGCATCATGTCTATGCTGCCCCCCACTATGAGACGAATATGTCCGTACAGCCCATGGTTGACAAGCAGCGACGGGGATCCATTCCGAAAGAGCCGAATTAGGTATTGGGCTTCAGAGACTCGACTTTGGAACCCTTCCATCATCTTGTACCCCTTGGGGTTTCGGCCAGAGAAGGCAAAAAGAGGGCTTTGGCGATCAGCGCCCGCAGCCCTTTCATATGACAATTGGGGCCGTTTAGACTGTAGAGCACGGGATCTATTCTTGTTACCCGCCCATGCAAAATTCATTTGCCAGGGACTAGACCACAGGCGCTTACCTGCCTTTAGTTTCACTCAATCCGGCCGCTGGCTATCAAATCAGGGCGCCACAACTGATGTCGCGATACACGTCTGAAGCTCTGCGACTCTGCCGTATAAACCAAGACTGGTTTCCAAGACTTTACAGATCCACATGGGATTTCTCGCAGCAATGGATGGACTAGTCGAGAACGTCGGCAAGTGTTGCGTTGTGGTCCTACATGATGAAAGCGTGCATGAAATAAATGGTCATCTGGCTCTGCTAGTCGAAGCCAAACGCACGCGCATGCCCTTGCCCCATCGCATGGGGGTACGAGGCGAGGCGACGCCTCTTCCTTGCTGTTTAGTGGCTCACGGTTGACGCCAGAGGACCAGTCTTTCAACCTTTGTTTAGATCTGGATGAGACGAAAATGACGACTGCGAGGAGACCTATCACCAGAAGCAACAATACAAGGTTGCAGGGCACGTTGTATCCAACACACACCGGTCTTTGTTCTCTGAGGGATGGGATGGGATGGGGACACATACGAACCCAATAATTCGGCGCCCACTCCCTTTCGATAAGAACATGGCGCGTCATCCTTGCCAGCCAAATGTTGTACACCGAGAGATGGTAGTATCCGCAAGACCCAACGAGCGGCGGAGATATGCGAAAAGGATCGGCTATATTGCTACCGTTACCAATAGCAGTAGCATGGACACACTCCTTGAGATCGAGCCGATGGCCTGTTTATGATTACAGAGCCTCGACGCGTCGCCTTCTGCAACCATGGTGACGAGTGGTGAAGTACATGGCCTGGAGCGGTGAAAACCTGTCATGTCTCACCAACATTGAGCTCGTTTTGACCAACAGTGGATAAAGGGCATATTTCGGGGAATCCAGAGTCATACAAGCAGCAACCTAGGTCCAAGACGGTCCAGTTCTCCGAGGTGGCTCTGCTCCGAGGGGGTACAAGAAACAAAATCATCAATGGCCTGAAGGATCCTCCTGAGGCAGGGTGCAATCACTGCTTAGTGATAACACACGTTTGGTAACATCGGGGCCAAGTTTTTCCCCGAGCTTCGTAAATACCCCTTTGCGTCTTTTGTTGGGCTCGCCCAGCTGGGGTAAGTGGCAAGTGACATGTTTAGGTAGGTGACATGCTAGAAGTTGAAGTTGCATTCATGACGATTCTTGGCCACTTGGCCCTTGGGCCTTCCTGACGAGCGAGAGATATCTCTTCTGGATTGTTAGAGTGATGTATATGTCATAATGCAAGTAGAATGGCTCACAACTAGGTGAAGGGTTGGAACTCCAGTTTCTCCATGATGATTGAATCCGGAGTTGGCTGCTATTCCACGTTTATGGAAGCAGGGCCAATAGTGTTGTATTGATAAGCACCATGGCACAAATGCGCTTATTCCAAGTAAACTGACAGCCCCATTGAACAGAGCTTGTATACCTGACATACTTGAAAGGTATCTTTTCATGATAGTTCATGATGGGGATGCTGTAAGATTGATCGCCTTTGAGTTTCAGAGACAGTATGAGATGAGGGCTCACGTGACACCATCGTCAAGCAAGAATCACGTGATGTCGACCACACTTGAGCGAGTTCTCAGGGGATAGAGTCTTTCTTGACAAATCGCGAGATTCAAAAAACACGAATCATTAGAAACAGCAAATATTACGAACACTTTTCTTTTGAAAATTCAGTGTTGCAAAAGCTTTGTTATCGTCAAATTTCTCTATTTGTACGGTTTGCGGGTTGCTCTTTCACATAAGGTAGGTATCGATAAGGCACCCCACTAGGAACTTCCAGATTCGTAGCGCCTTTGCATCTCACTTTACATCAGCATTTTTTGACAGGAGTGAAAACTCACACCGAAAAACACCCAGAGAGATAGCCATCATGACGAGCTTAAAGAGGCCTCAGGGGTCTGACCAACTGGCTCAGAACATCTCCAACAAGGTTTATGTCAGGTCGACACGCAGTGGAAAGGTCCAGAAGATTGTTCGCGAGGTCTATCTGAGAACGGACATACCGTGCTCATCGAACCTGTGCAGGGCGTGCTTGAGCCAGGCACCCAGAAATGCAGTGAATGAAGGTAATTCTTTCTTTCTGTCTCAAGTTCTGAAGATGAGAAATGTGACTAACAACTTGTGATAGCTCTACCATTTGTCCTGTCGGCCAGACCGGCTGGTACAAAGTCGTATCCTCAGGGCCACTACCTAGTTCCAGACACAAACGCGCTGCTAAACGCCATGGACCTGTTTGAGCAGAGCTCATCGTTTTACGACGTTGTTATCTTGCAGACTGTCCTGGAGGAGCTCAAGAATCGCTCATTGCCGCTCTACAATCGCCTTGTTGGACTGACAAAGAGCGAGGATAAGAGGTTCTACGTTTTCTTCAACGAGTTCCGACTGGAGACGTATATCAATCGCGAAGCCAATGAGACTGTCAATGACAGAAATGACCGTGCGGTTCGGCAGGCTGTCAAGTGGTATGGGGAGCATTTGGCGTTGACCAAGGCGGTACAAATCCCGGCGGTTGTCATGCTGAGCGATGATCGGGATAATTTGAGGAAAGCTAAGGCGCAAGGCCTGCACGCGTCTTCGCTGGCAGACTATGTCAGCGAACTAGAAGATGGCGACAGGCTGCTCGACATGATTGCCGAGTCACAGTCTCAAGCCCAAGGTGGATTCAAGCAGGCTTCCCAGCAGCCCCTTTATCCAGAGTTCTATACCTCCTCGAGAATGATGACGGGGGTCAAGGCAGGCTTGCTGCATCAGGGAATCTTCAATGTGTCGCCGTATAATTACCTTGAGGGGTCGATCAAGGTGCCTGCTTTCCCGAAGCCTCTGCTTATCCTCGGCCGCGAGAACATCAATCGATCTATTGATGGCGATGTTGTTGTCGTTGAGCTCCTTCCACAAGACCAATGGAAATCACCATCAACAAAGATTATTGAGGAGGACACCATCACAAAGAACGAGAATGCGGACACAGAAGAGCGTCAGGATTTTGTGTCGGACAAGGAGCGGAAGGCACTTCAGGAGGAGGTGAAGAGGACACAAAAGGCATCGGGGGAGAACCAGCTACAACCAACAGCCAAGGTTGTGGGCGTGGTGAAGCGTAACTGGCGACAGTACGTCGGTCACATTGATCCGTCAACGGCCAGCAAGGGTCCCTCGCAAGGTCGTAGACTCGACAGCGTCTTCCTCATCCCCATGGATAAGAAGATCCCCAAGATCCGTCTCCGCACTCGTCAAGTCTCTGAGCTCTTGGGTAAGAGACTGTTAGTCACTGTTGACTCTTGGGACAGAGACTCGAGACACCCCGTGGGACATCTGGTCCGATCTCTGGGAGAGCTCGAGACCAAAGCAGCAGAGACAGAGGCACTACTCCTGGAATGGGATGTCCAATACCGGCCTTTCCCCAAGACGGTGCTCGACTGCCTTCCGAAAGAGGGCCATGACTGGAGGGTGCCAGAGAGCAAGGAGGATCCAGGCTGGAGAGACAGAGAGGATCTTCGCGATCTCCTCATCTGCAGCATTGATCCTCCCGGCTGTCAAGATATCGACGATGCTCTTCACGCCAGGCTATTACCCAACGGCAACTACGAGGTCGGCGTCCACATTGCGGACGTATCGCACTTTGTTAAGCCTGCAAATGCAATGGACACGGAAGCAAGCATTCGTGGCACCACGGTTTACCTGGTTGACAAGCGCATAGACATGCTTCCCATGCTGCTCGGCACCGATCTCTGCTCTCTCAAGCCCTATGTTGAGCGTTTTGCGTTTACAGTCATTTGGGAACTCGATGAGAATGCTGACATTGTAAACGTCCGCTTTACAAAGTCTGTTATCAAGTCTCGCGAGGCGTTCAGCTACGAACAAGCACAGCTTCGAATCGACGACGCGTCGCAGCAGGATGACCTCACAAAGGGCATGCGAATGCTGCTCATGCTGTCGAAGAAGCTCAAGAAGAAGCGTATGGATGCCGGCGCCCTGAGCCTGTCTTCTCCCGAGATCAAGGTGCACATGGAGTCGGAGTCCTCAGACCCCATTGACGTCAAGACGAAGGAGCTTCTCGACACCAACTCTCTTGTCGAGGAGTTTATGTTGTTCGCCAACGTCAGTGTTGCGGCCAAGATCTACGAGGCGTTTCCTCAAACTGCCATTCTGCGTCGCCACGGCGCCCCTCCTAAGACCAATTTCGACGAGTTGGCCGATCAGCTGCGTATCAAGCGTGGCTTGGAGCTGCGCACCGACTCCAGCAAGGCGTTGGCTGATTCCCTAGACAAGTGTGTCGATGAGAAGGATCCGTTCTTCAACACGCTGGTCCGTATCATGGCCACGCGGTGCATGATGAGCGCCGAGTACTTTTGTTCCGGAACGCAGTCATACCCCGAGTTTCGCCACTATGGTCTCGCGTCTGAGATTTACACGCACTTTACTTCTCCCATTCGCCGATATGCAGATCTCCTCGCGCATAGACAACTTGCCGCCGCCATCGGCTACGAGGCTGTCCATCCTTCTGTGCGCAGCCGTGGTCGCCTTGAGGCAGTGTGCAAGAACATCAACGTTCGCCATCGCAACGCTCAGATGGCCGGCCGAGCTAGCATTGCTTACTACGTCGGCCAGGCTCTGAAGGGCAAGGTTGCTGAGGAGGAGGCCTTTGTCATGAAGATTTTTAGCAACGGATTTGTTGTTCTGGTGCCGCGGTTCGGTATTGAGGGTTTGATTCGGCTGCGTGATTTGGCTGATCCTGAGCCGGAGAGCGAGTACGACGCTGAAAAGTATACGCTGACGACAAAGGGCGACAAGGCCGTTAAAGTAGAGCTGTTCCAAAAGGTTGTGGTTAGAGTCCATGATGATAAGGACGAGAGGACGGGCAAGAGGGGCGTCAAGATGGAGTTGGTGAGTGCTTAGAGACAGGGTGGAATAAGGCATGGTATTTCAACGGGTTTGGGAGGACATTTCACGAATGTTAAGAGACTAGAGTAAGAATAAAGAGGGGAAGAGGACTGAGAGGCTTGCATATCAGGGAAATCCTTCTTTGTTTGAAAAAAAGAGACGTGTACATCTATATGTATTTGACATATCTAAACGTGTACATCCGGCCCAAGTCCGTTTTTATTTTTGACCAAACCAGCCTACAACGCCAAACTCGTTATGAGGGGGAAAAAAAATTTAAAACCGCGTCGCAACGACATCCATATATATGATAAAATCCCAGCCACATTTGCAATCGTGAGAGTTCCCCTTTGGAGCCCGGGCTTCTTTTTACTGCTCCATGGCATCATCTTCATTTGCAGCCCCGTTGCCATTGTCACCCCACAGGCCATCGAGCTTGAACTCGGCGGCCCACTCGGTGACAATCTCCTTCTGGTCGGCCATGACATCCTCCTCGCCGGCGTTCTTGATGGTAGGCTTGGTGGCAGCGCCGTTGGCGGACTCGACGGCCAGGACGGGGGCCTCGACCCAGCCCTGGATACGGCCGTCACGCCAGTCGGTGACGACGGTCATGGCAGCAGCGTTGATGTTGGGGATGCCTCCGCGGCCGATCCTTCCACGCTTGCGGGCGACCTGGACGAGGAAGTCCGTGGTGATGTCGCCGTCGGTGCTGGTGGGCAGCAGCGCGGGGATGTCGTAGACGGCGGTGAGCTTCTGCAGCAGGTCGGGGGTAGTGGAGAGACGACGGAGAAGGAGGCTGACGGCGGGGACGGGGTCGTCAATCTGCTTGGGGGGCACGGCGTTGAGGAGGACGAGGTGGGCGTGGGCCTCGGTGGCGTTCTTGATGGCGACGAGGCCTCCGGACTGGATGGACGAGGACGAGGGGAAGACGACGCCGGGGGAGTCGAGCAGCGTGAGCTTGCTGTCGATCTTGACCTTGCGGATGCTCGTGGTGACGCCGGCCTCGGCGCCGGCAGGGCAGGCCTTTGCGTTGTTGCTGCCCTTGCCGCTCAACCTGCTGAGGAGGGCGTTGATGATGGAGCTCTTGCCGACGTTGGGGTAGCCGATGACGCCGACGGAGACGGCACGCTTCAGGTCGCGGCTGGCGGCGTAGCTCTTGAGGGCCTTGAACAGGGCGGCCGAGGTGCTCTGGACGGTCAAGTCGCGGTGGCTAAACACATGCGCGTTCGCGGCGGCGTGCGACGCCCGCACCGGCAGCGTGGGGAAGTACCGGCGCAGGTGGACGAGCCAGTCGCGCAGGACCTTGGGCGGGATCAGGTCGACCTTGTTGAGGATGAGGATGAGGCGCTTGCCCCCCGAGGCGGCGGCCATGACGCTGCGCTCGACCTCCCGCGAGCGGGTGCCCTCTGGGTCGCGGGCGTCGAGCACGTACAGCACGACGTCGGCTTCCTCGACGACCTGCTTGAAGACCTTGTCAAACGTCTTCCTTGACGAAGCCTGGCCAATGGAAACGTGTGCGCCATCGTCAGAAGCGTCGCTGTCGCTCTCCTCGTCATCGTCGTCGTCCATGTCGTCGTCGCTGGCGGCAAGAGACTTGTCGTACTTTTCCGCAGCAGCACGAGCGCTGGCAATCAGCGCGGCCATGGGGTTAGACTCGTCGAAATCCTCGTCCAAGTCGCCGTCCTCATCCATCTGGTCGTCACCAGCCCCGCCGACGTCGTCCATGGCATCCTCGTCCTTGCCCTCGGCGCCGCCCGTCTTGGCAGCCTTGGCCATCTCTTTTCTCCTCTGAGCCTCCTCGGCCTTCTTCGCGCGCTTCTGCTCAATCTCCTCGAGAATCCTCTCCTTGTAGGGGAACAGGTTGGGGATGCCGGGGTCCTTCTTCAGCTTGGATCGCCATTCCGGGTTCTTCTTGGCGAACTTGCGATCCTTTCTCTGCTTGGCGGCCGAGGCCTTTTGGATCTTGTTGCGAAGGCGGGTTGTTGTCCGCTTGGACTTTGGTTCTGCGCCATGGTTGGTTAGCAGGCAAAGGAAAGGCGATGGGACAGCCCAGGATGGAGAGTGAATCTGGGTTTTGGGTTGAGTGATTGCTGCTCTGGATCATGACATACTCTTGGGCTTGTTAATTGAGCCTGCCATTGTGACTTGTCGTTGTCAATCGTGGGTTTCTCTTGATAACGACTTGCGGCGTGCCTCCAACTGAACTGTCTGTGGTTGCCGTGCTAAGAAAAAAAAATTAAGTGGGATATCGATTCTGCCGGCGGCGCTGCACACCGCCTTGCTATCGGCTCCATCTGGATGTAGAATTCTTGCGTTAGTAAGCCTTTTCTCTCAAGTAATAGACCGAGGTACCCTTTGCCGTATTTTGTAGTTGAAAGATACATGCAGCGTAGTATTAGCATCTTCTCCGCATTGCAAAGAGCCCAATTAGGCGCACGTTCGACGTGGGTTTCCTTTTCCTGTCGAGCAAACCCACCCACCGGCCCTTTGATGCCCACTATCGATCTCGGGTGAGGCAGTCAAACCCGAGATGCGAGATGCTAGCCTTGGATATCCTTGTTGTCGTGTCTCAAAGATTGATGCTAGTAATAGCTCATGATGAGAGTACTGGTACTACCTATTACTACATAAGGTAGTTACCAGGTACCTTAGTAGGCACCTGGATGTATATAAGAGGGCATGGTGTTGATGCATCTTGATCCCCTCTCGTCCTTGAATACACCACGCAGTGATCCCGTGTTGCTTGTTTTACTTTGCATGTCAACTGAGCCAAGTTCCAAATTTCACCTCCGTACACCAACACGAAACAATGGCACAAGATTCGGCTCACAAGCTTTCCCTGGCCCTCTCTGAAGCCAAGGCTCTCTACGTAGCCCGAAATGCCAAATCCCGAGCAATCCACGAAGAAGCCACCAAGTCATTCCCTGGAGGCAATACCAGGACGGTGCTTCATACTGATCCCTTCCCCATCTGCATGAAGTCTGGCCAGGGCTATCAACTGACCTCTGAGGATGGGAACACGTAGGTTGACATGGTTGTGTACTCCGGCTTCTTGTCTTATTAACACAGGCTTCTGCAGCTACACAGACCTTACATGCGAATTCACCGCAGCGCTCTATGGCCACTCAAACCCTGTGATTCTCGATGCCGTGAGCAATGTCCTCAAGACCGTGGGCATGAACGTTGGCGCAACGACATCTCAGGAGCAATTGTTTGCTCAGGAATTGTGTCAGCGCTTTGGGCTTGAACGAGTGCGCTTCACCAACTCCGGCACTGAGGCCAACCTCCATGCTCTGGCCGCTGCGAGGGTGTTCACCAACAAGAGAAAGGTGGTTGTGTTCAACAGAGGCTACCATGGAGGAGTTCTGGGCTTCAAGGACGGAAATCCAGCGCCTAACAATGTTGACCAAAGCGACTGGATCGTTGTCAAGTACAATGATGTCGACGCTGCCACCAAGGCAATCCAGAGTGAGGGAGTGGCCGCCGTCTTGGTGGAAGGCATGCAAGGAAACGGAGGGTGTATTCTTGGAACTCCAGAGTTCCTGACTGGCATCCAAGACGCTGCTGCAAAGGTGAAGAAACACAAAACTCATACCCGTTTACTCAGCACTTTTGCTCACTCACATCTCATATAGGCCGGCGTGGTGTTCATCCTCGACGAGGTCATGACTTCTAGAATATCAGCTTCCGGCTTTGCAGGCCTGCGAGAAATCAAGCCCGACCTCAAGGCGTTTGGCAAGTATCTCGGCGGCGGTCTTGCTTTTGGCGCCCTGGGCGGAAGGGCCGACATCATGGCAGCCTTTGACCCGAGACTCGCCACCTCGATTTCTCACTCTGGCACCTTCAACAACAACACGCTCGTGACGCATGTCGGCTATGCGGGCCTCAGAAATATCTACACTCCCGACGTAGCGGACAAGTTTACCGAGATGGGCTCGGCGTTCCTATCCAGGCTTCAGGAGACAGTGAAAGGAACAAGGATAACTTTCACGGGGATTGGTTCCGTCTTGTGCTCTCATTTCATCGAAGGGGATGTAGAAGTGAGGGATTTTGCTAGTGGAGACGATGTGCAAGAAAACGAGGCGCTCAAGGACTTGTTTTGGTTTGAGATGCTGGAGCAGCGGTTCTGGGTCACGCGCAGAGGCTTCATTGCGCTGATCCTGGAGACGCCGCAGTCGGAGCTGGACAGATTTGTAGATGCTGTCAAGGCGTTTGTGTCAAAGCATAACGACATACTGGCGATTTGAAGCGACGAAAGGCCAACAAGGGCATGTTAGTAGTAGCTCATTCAATAAGAGGTAGATTGTTTTAGTTTCAAGTGTTCCTGGTGATCAGTTGTGGCAGCACATATGCCCGCTGATTGGTTAGCCTTATCCGATTACATAATCTACCCATCCTTCAGCCTTGTCCACCTTGTAACTTTTGCCATCGATTCTCGTAGCTGCATCAACACGCGCCTCCAAAACTCTCTTCTTTTCTTCTTTATTCAACCCCCCAACTCACACCACCAAACCCCCTTCTCACAAACCACCGCACATCCCCCGAATCCCCATATCCCCGTCTTCTCAATGGACTACCAAAACCGCGCGGGTTCCAAATTCGGCGGCGGCGGTGTCGCCTCGCATTCCGCCACCAACGCCGACCGCCGCGAACGCCTCCGCAAGCTCGCCCTCGAGACAATCGACCTCGACAAGGACCCCTACTTCTTCAAGAACCACGTCGGCTCCTTCGAGTGCCGCCTCTGCCTGACCGTCCATCAAAACGACGGCTCCTACCTGGCCCACACCCAGGGCAAGAAGCACCAGACCAACCTCGCCCGCCGCGCCGCCCGCGAGCAGAAGGAGGGCAAGCAGAACATCGACCCGGCCACGGGCCTGCCCGCCAGCGTCGCCGCCAACCTCAGCGCGCGCCGCAACGTCGTCAAGATTGGCCGCCCCGGATACAAAATCACAAAGATCCGCGACCCCGTGACGCGCCAGCAGGGCCTCCTCTTCCAGCTGCAGTACCCGGACGCCACGCCCGAGCTGGCGCCCAAGTGGCAGGTCATGAACGCCTTTACGCAGCGCGCCGAGGAGCCCGACAAGAACTTTCAGTACCTGGTCGTCGCCGCCGAGCCGTATGAGAGCGTGGGGTTCAAGATCCCCGCGCGAGAGCTGGACAAGCGGGAGGATAAGCAGTTTTGCTTCTGGGACCCGGATTCCAAGGAGTATTGGATTCAAGTCATGTTCATGACGGAGCGTGAGGAGCGCTTCAATGCTGCTCCTGGCTTGACGGCCAGGAGATGAGTGTGTTTGACAAGGGAGGAGGGACAGAAGATAATCATCATCAGGCTGCGTGGAGATGCTGTCTGATGATTGCCGGAGCCGCGGCTCTTGATACCCGAGAAGGACGGCAAGGCCTTTGTGTAGCCATCTCTTTGGCAGTGCTCAAAGCGCGAACGCGGTAGAATATTTAGCAGGCAACGATATCAAATCGCATGGGGTAAGAGGCTGTCCGTTGGCTCGATACCAGCGTGCATTTTTTTGGCTGACTTGCAACTAGCTGTTCGGCTCAACAGTTGACTTGGCCTGAGAATGAGCGAGGGCAAAACAGCACAAACGTGAAAATTAGGCATCTTTGGCACAATCAAGGGTAACGAATGTTGGGTATATATTAACGACACATAAACATGAACATGTATACTAAATCGGAAATTGGATTTACGGGCCTCTTATAAATATCACTTATTTCAAATCATATACTACTGCAATACCAATAAAGTTTCTTTTGCAACTGATATATCCACGGTCTTAGACTAACGCATGCGTATGAGAAAAAATGAAAAGCATCTTTCAGCAATATGAACAAGGGCATGTCAGCACGATGTTTTTCCCATGCCCAGTATAATGCATTTCAATAAACGACAATGTACCATTTTGGTTCTGATGCAGATTGCTCCTCGTATCTTGGCCAGCCGATTAAGCATAGACCCCCCCTTCCCCTCTCTCCCCTTTCAAATTCCAACGTCTCCATCATCTAACGGCAGCTCTAATTCGCTTCGAATTCAAAATCTCTACTGCATATGCACCGCTTCATCCTCTGGAACAACAAAAACCTTCTATCGGAAGTTGTTATCGAACCGCTTGAAGGTGTAGCCGATGAAAGGAAGGCTCATCTCGGGAGACTCCTCGGGTGCCTGGCCATTGCGGTTCTGGATGGCCTGGGCCTTGAGCAGAGTCGCGTTGTCAGTCTGGTCAATCTCATCGGTGGGGAAGTAAGTGGTATCGATGTTGGACGTCAGCCGGGGCTCGAAAGGAGCGCGGATGCGGCGCAGACTGTCAAAGTCGACTCCACGGAAGAATGCGTGGCTCTTGAGTTCATGAGCGCCTCCCCGTCCGAGTCGGTTCTCGGTGTTGCAGACCATGCTATAAAGTAGACAAGGTCAGCCATCAAGCACTCTTGACTGTATAAAGTATCCTCTAGGGGTATCGTACCTTCGAATCAAGTTCTCTGCCTCAGCACCCAGCGTAATGTCATCAGGGAAGTACAGGGTTTGTCTCCAGTTGACAATCTTGCGGTAAGTATCGTGGCTGTCTTCGGCGCAGAAAGGCGGCCAGCCCACCAAGCACTCGAACATGATGGTGCCCAACGACCACCAATCGCAGTCAAAGGTGTAGCCATGGCCTGTGAAGATCTCGGGGGCGATGTAGTCTGGCGTACCGACGGTGGAGTAAGCCATCAGCCGTCTAGATCGTCTCCAGTCGTTAATCTGAGATCGGTTGCTGACTGTGAGGTTAATCTGGTCTATGGCAACTGAAGTCCGGTCACGCGGGCGGTTGGAGCGACCTTGCAGAAGCTGCTGGTAGTAGTTGTTATCGTGCAGACGGTGGAATCCCGTGGAGAGACCAAAGTCAGTCAGCTTGACGTGACCGCCGCGGTCCAACAGGATGTTGTCGGGCTTGATGTCACTGTTTTCCACCAAAAGTCAGTCATTCACTCGCGCTGATGTTTGGGGGATGCAGCCAGCAAAACATACCGGTGAATAAAGCCAAGCTTGTGGACGGCTTCAATGGCCAAGACAATCTCAGCAATGTAAAATCGCGTAATGTCTTCTGAGAAGATTTCATACTTGATGAGCATGGTCATCAAATCTCCACCCGGCAAAAACTCCATGAGCATGTAGAGGAAGTACGCGTCTTGGAAGGTGGTGTAGAGCTTGACAACCCAGGGGCTGTCAGACTCGGCCAGGATATCACGTTCTGAGCGGACGTGGGCCAGCTGGTCCTTCTTGAACATTTCAGTCTTGATCAGAGACTTCATGGCGTAGACTTTGCCGTCTCCCTTCTTCTGCACCAACTTGACCTCACCGAAAGCACCCTTTCCGATGATCTTGACAGTGTTGTAGTTTTCGGGCTTGTCCTTTGTACGCAAGAATCGCAGGTATTGGCCTTCCTTCCGGCCGGCGGTCGACCACAGCTGCTCTCTTCTAGTTGAGCTCTGTTGGGGGTCTTGCAGCTTCTGCTCCAACTCATTCTGCCTATTGTTGTGTTTTTTACATGTTAGCAAGTCGATGGATTATTGATACAGAGTGATAAGGGGTTGATTTAGGCTTGGAAAGAGACCTGTGATGATGGACATTCGCACCTTTGGTTACGCTCGCGAGCTCGCTTGACGCTGTCTTTGAAAAAGTCGGCAGCTAGCTGTGAACACTTCTTCTGGTTGCTATTGGCATTTGTGCCATATTTATCAGGGTTCCTCTCAGGGATGGGCTGGAACTCGGGCGACGAGACAACGCCCTGGCCGGGCAAAGGAGGCGCGTAGTTGCCATAGCTGGCCTGCTGCCCCGAGCCGCCAGCAGTTCGCGGACGGCCTGACGACGGCCCTCGACCGGCATATTGACCTCCCCTCGCGGCACCGCCGCCTAGGTTCTGGTGGGAGAACTGGTGAGCCAAGCCAGTGTTTGGGTCGTTGGTGCCGGGCGCGCCAGACTGCGGGGGATAGCCAGCGTTGGGATAGTCGCTGGTGACGGCCTGGCCAGGATACTGCTGCTGCTGACCATACTGGTTCTGCGCAAAGTAGCCCTGCTGCTGAGGGTAGCCGGCGCCGTACTGCTGCTGGCCGGACTGCATGCTGCCAGACTGGCCCTGGAAGACGGGCTGTGGAAAGGTTGAAGGAGTCGTTGGAAAGGTCCGATCGTTGGCAGGCGGCCGTTGGTTGTCAAAGTTCAAGTGCAGACGATTGGAATCCATCTCCACGCCGATAAGACAAGACAATCGATCTCAGGTAATAATCAGCTGTATGCGAGCCTGACGGCCTGAGGGGTCGTCGGAAAGGGGGAGAGAGACGCTGGAGATGGAGCCCTGACTGGCCAATTCGAAGCGAGAGTTGCTCCGCTGCAGCGCAAGGCAAGGCGGGCTGGCCCAGTTTTTGGAGGAGCAAGGCAAGGACCTGTGCTGGCAGCTGATTGGGGCCTGAGCTCTGGAGTTGCAGTTGAAGAAGCTCCGGTTCTCTCAAGTCAAGACCCTTTGACGATGGTTTGGCTTGGGCTCAAGGGGAAAATGGGGGGCGGTCAATCCAGACCTCAAACTGCTAGGTAGAGGCGCCAAAGACAATGGGCGGGGTGATGAATACTCGAGAGGTACCTGCGCGTCGTGCACCAGACGGGCGTGGGCGTGTCACAGGTGGCTGTAAGCCCAGGTAGCCTCCAGGTCCCAGGGGGGCTTGCTGGTGGGCACAGCAGTTGGTAGGGCCGCTAAATTGTTCTGGTCGGGGCTCTAGACACGGTTGATGCTGAACTGAGCTGCCACTAGACTAGTATCTTAGTGTCTGGTGCTCCAGTGCTATCATTCTCTATTTTTTGGTGCTTCAGTGCTGTTTGCTTTGCCGAGTCAGTAGATAAAAAGGGCTTCAATCATTTGATCTTGTTGTCCCAGAAGCCTTGATCACTTGGATGGAAAGGGATTGATTGGTGTAAACATGCCCGGCTTGTGTGGGACGGCACAACACCGCCAAGCATTGAAAATACCAATTTCAACTCTCCTTGGCCCTATATGTAGCCAGTATTATGACAGTCAACATCTTCAATTGGGAATGGCTACATCAATTTAATTGCTTCCCTCTACCAGCAGATTGTGCTGTCTACAGCCTTTTACGAGCATCAGCCCTTTCGTCCCATCGACCTGTTCCCCACCGGCACTTGTGCCGCCTCCATCTCAGGGGTCCAGCCGTTCCGCCTTGTACGGAATATATTACCCATCCGTCCCATCTCTGCTGTGCTTGGAGATCTAAATTCACATGCCAGGAGTCCCCGGCAATCCATCTCCTAGCCAAGCACTCCGTAGCATTGACTAGATCTCAGGTTGACCTGCAACACTAGTATCTACACCATCAGCCAATCCTTGATGCAGTTCTTACGGTAGAATTTCAGGCCTTGCTCCAACACACACTCTATGCACCGAAGTAGCACTTGTATGCAAAAGCGGGCAGGATATAGTATAAAGCTCCCTCGTACCGTCTCCTGCAGGGTCCGTTTAAAGAAGCCGACTTGTCGTCCCGGTGAGCGACGGCCGACCCCTGTTCTCTTCTGGACAAGGCATCCTTTACCTCAATAATTCATGTTACAAAGGCGAGATTATCAAATTACTGCGTATCAAGTGTTATATGCTCATTTCTCTACTCTACCATCCCAACAGAATTGATTTATACAAGGCAAGGCTTCGACGAAATAAACACGATGAATACCTATTGCCGATAACTTTGACATCAAAATGGGACATGCATGTAGAACTTGTCTTTGCCCGCTGATCGTGGAGACACAGTCTGCAATCAACTGCACGTTTCCTCAAATCCCAATCGCAATAGCCAAGAACAATACAAGAAATCATATCATAAGGCATCAAATATTATAGACGAACATTTTTTTTTTCATTCTAGGCGAGAAAAGTGATGAATTATTGTTTGCACCATAGCCCAAGTACATGTGCCCCAAGAAAGTTCTGCCCATTTTGGCGACAAACCGAGGCCCTTATCGTGTCCCGCATCCTTATCGCATCCGATTTTTTTCCAACCTCATGACAGCATAACTCATCGACAGCGTCTCGACGCAGCTCGCTTGCAAACAATGCAAAAGCATACTTAGGCCACCATTCCTTTTCCCTATGTTCTTTTCCCTCTTTCTACACAAAGGATAGCACCCAAGCAAGGCCGCACACGCTTCACATCACCATGGCCGACGCCAATCCCAATCCCTCGACCCCGCCAGCCTCGAGCTCGAGCTCAGGCTCAGGCTCAGGCGCTTCAAAACCTCCTCGTCCGCGCAATCCCGTCTTCAAGATGATGGGTCTCCCGGCCCTCCCTCGCAAGCTCCCCTCCCGCAATTGGCTCATCTTCTGGGCCGTCTCCTCATCCATCGCCGGCGCAATCATCTACGACAAGCGCGAAAAGAATCGCGCAACAGCCAAATGGCGCCGAGCTGTTGCGCCTCTCTCCAAAGAGCTGCTCCCCAATTCGAGCCAGCTGCCCCGCAAACTGACCGTTTACCTGGAAGCCCCTCCTGGAGATGGTCTGCGCACGGCTCAGGATCACTTCATCGAATATGTAAAGCCTATTCTGGCGGCTTCGGGTCTCGACTGGGAGTTTGTCCAGGGCCGGCAGCAGGGCGACGTGCGAGCGGCTGTGGCCGAGAAGATTAGGAGATCCAGAAAGGCCACCGAGCGGCCGGGCGAAGAGATGCCGCAAACAGATGAAGCCATTGTGGAACAGCAGAGGAAGAAAATCGGACTACCAGAATACGAAGGCGTCAAGGGCGACATCGTCATTGGTCGACATACTTGGAAAGAGTATGTTCGAGGACTACACGAGGGATGGCTCGGGCCCCTCGATGCACCGCCATTGCCAGTCGTCGAAACTCTCGAAGACAAGCCCGAACCCGAAACCCCATCCACAGAAGGCGACGGTGACAAGAAGCCCGAGGACAAGAAGCCGGAAGAAGATGAAAAGAAGGACAAGCGACCACCACAGCCTCGCCCTCACAACTCCCCCGACGACTATCCCTCCGCCGCCCTCCCAGCCAGCATCCCCGCCGAGTTCTCCCCCTCTACTCCCATCGCCTTCCCCCACCGCCTCGGCTTCCGTCACACCTTTGTCCGTCTTGGCCGCTTCCTGACCCGCCGTCACCTGGCAGACGACATTGGCCGAGAGGTCGCCGCAGTGTGTTTCGCCGCCGCGCGAGACTGGCGCGAGGCCGATGGCCAGTACGAGCAGCAACTCGTCCTGAAGCAGGAAGAAGACGACTGGCCCAAGTTTGTCTGGAAGGACGAGCCCGAGCCCGTCGACGAGGCAGAAAAGGCCAAAAAGGCCGCCGAGCCGCCCAAGGAAAAGATCTGGGCCTCGAGTCTGGTGGTCGACCCGCGCATCGTGGAACGGATGCGCCGCTTCGAGATCCAGCCCGAAGACGAGGCTCGCGCGCAGAAGATTGTCGTCCCGGAGGCGGAGATTGAGGGTTGGATCAAGCGTAGTTTGAGGAGCCTGTACCACTGGGGCGCCAGCTCTTTCGCCAGCAAGCCCACGGGTCCTAAAGTGGGAAATTTGGATGATGATTGAAGCGAGGGCGTTGAAAAACAGAAATAAGAAAAAGGAAACTAATCTTGCAAAAGAGGAGGACTCCAAAGATGCGATGTGCACATGACGGGATGGAAGGGTCATGTTTTATTATTCTTGTATCAACAACGGGGGCATGTGCTTGTATGACTACTGTATGTATGCGAGGAGTGAACCATTAATTGGTTATCGGGCAAAAACCCAGTCACAAAAAACGACCGAGAGCGAGCTATGGATGGATGGATGGATTGGTAATGATAAAGGGCGTATATACACATTATCTAGCTTTGCAGCTGTATTAATTCGCAACCACCACACTTACACTTCTCCTCTTCCGAGTCGAGCCTCGTCCACGCTTCTCCCCCCATCGTGTCATTCATCATCGTCACTGTCCGAATCATACGCCACCAGCCCCAAGCTCGTCTTCTTCTCTTCCTTAGGAGGCTCCCTCTCCTTTTCTTTCTCCTTCTGACCCTCACTCTCACCCTTCTTCTTCCCATCATCACCATCACCCCTATCAACTCCCCCAGCCTCATCCTTCCCTCTATCACCACCGCCAACAGCCTTCTTCTTCACCCCCAACACCTCCCTCTCATGCCTCTTCCTCTTCCTCCCACCCACCGTCCACCCCTCCTCCCCCTCCTCCCCTCCACCATCCTCCCTCGCCGTCCCGGAAGAAGCCTCCCCCCCGCCGCCGGTGCTCTTCTGCCTCTCCCGAAACGCCTTCAGCCCTTCTTCAACCTCCCTCCTCGCCCGCTCCTCCTCAGCCCTCTCTTTCGCCCTCACCTCGTCCAGAAACTCAATCTCATCATCATCCAACGCCCGGAACTGATTCTTCAGCTTATTCTGCTCTTCAAACGCAGCCTGCTTCGCCGCTATTCCTCATACAAAAAATTCCAAATCAGCACACACATCTCCTCTCTCCAAAAATACAGCAACAAAGAAAGTAACCCCTCTCAAAAAAAATACAAACAACAAAGAAAGGGAGGGAAAGAAGAAGAAGTAGTATTACAGACCTTTGTTCGCCTGCAAAATGTCATACAAGCTCTGCTGCCCACCCTCCGCCAACTCCGCCCTCGCGTGCTCCCTCCGCTTCCTCTCCTCGTCAAGCTCATGCTGCACCGCCTCCCACTCCACGCTCTTCTTCGCCAGCGGCTCCCTCGCCGCGGCAGCGACGGCCTCGTCCTTGGACCCTTCGCCGCTCATCGTCCCGCCGGAAACGAATCGGCTAGACATGGTTTTTGAAAACACGGATTGTGTGGCAGCAGCAAGAAGAGTAGATGAGCCAGGTTTTGGAGGAAACGGGATTGAGTGAGATGGAGATGGGCCTCTTATAGCAGCGTACGAGGCACTGCTATAAGAGGGCTGGCTGGCTCAGGTTGTGAAACGACTTGCGACTGACAAGTTCGGAGAAGGATGGCGACGCGTAAAAAGGGCTAAAGCAGAAACGTTTTAGAGCAAGACGATGAGAAGAATTATAAAGACAAATGGCTAATTATGTGTAAGGCGTATCGACAGAGAAAATGGAGGAAACCGAGACGTGAAGTTGGCGGCCAAGAAGACTCAAAAGCAAAGTGTGGTCTGGAATGCTCGTGAGTCTGTAGAACGACGCAAAATGTTGTCAGTCGCAAATTCCGACAATCAACCGAATGTCTCAGCGAATTCAGATTCAACCCAAGCAGCACAACAGCATTCACAAGTATGAAATTGCAAGAGGCACAGAATCACGAAACATACAAATGAAGTCCAGCCGGGGCTGTTCATCAATTTAATTGTACTATAATCTCACAATAGGGATGCCATGAGGATCACCACCGGAGGCGTCTCCCTAGACTGAAGCCTTCTCGTGGGCCTTCATATTGCTGCCCATGATAGGGACAAAGAGCCTCCAATGATGGAACTCTCCAAACCATCGCCCAGCCTCCCACACGTGTGCGTATGAGACAAACTGCCACCCATTTTCGCATCTGCAATAAATAACTCTGAGCTGCAGAGTAAACCTTCGCCATCCATCTTCAAACCAGTGATTGCATCACTCTTGAATCACACCCGCCCCCGCCATCAAACAGTATTCCATGACAACAGATATGGAATTGATCATATGAATACAGAAAATCTGTCCGCATTCATGCGAAAGGAAGAAGAGAAACTCATTAATCGAACAAAAAAAACCATCTTCGCCTCGCCATCGCCACCTGGCTTTCCTTCTCTACAGAATCAACCCATGAAGACAAGGCGTCTAACATCTCATAGAAAGAAGAAGAAGTCCGAAAAAGCATACATGATGCTGGCCAAGCTTGACATGACACCAGCGGGGGTATCATGATCGCGATGTATGGCCTCGGAATGTGTAAGACCGTAAAAAATTTTTGAAATGATATAAAAAAATGCGCCGCGAGAGAAGAGAAAAAAATATAGCCGGTCCAATCTTCCATTTTACCCGCTGAAGACAATGCATGAAAGCGCCCTCGTAAAATACCCATTTTGCACAGACACCCATTCCCACCACAAACAAACAAGTATAGTGTCATATGTGCTATCCCCAAAACTTTTGAAATCTGTATTGCTTTTGTTGCGTCATGAACAATGTCGCCGTGGCCAGCGCGAATATTTGGTATCTCAACCAACCCGTAAACAGGGGCGCAGAGCCAGCAGGGACCTTGAGGACACGGTTCAGACCTTTATTTTTTTGTGGGCGTCGAGCATTTGCCCGAACCCTCGGTTATTTTCGAAGTGAAGCCTCCGATTGTAGGCAGTGCCTAAGACTGATTTCCAGATCTATCGAGGTACCAATGTAGGGTACCAATGCCAGGTCTATATGTGCAGCGCGCGCAAACGCAAGAGATCCCATCAAGTGTGGTATCAAGAGAGAGAGAAAAATCTTTGAAAGAGTGGATAATGTTCGCTTTCAGTGTTGCTGCAAGCTGGTTGGGCATCCAGCAATTCGAGTCCGATATCGATGACGGACGGAAGACGGCAAGATTGCCTTTTGGTGTTGGAAGAACCAAGCTCGCTTTTTTTGCACCAGGAACATTTTGTAGTGATATAAGAGTCACCCTGCGCCGAACCAAACCATTATGAAGCATGTACCGTGAAAAAAAAAATTGCTGTTTATAGTTGAAGCCATCAATGACCACGAAGAAGGTGCCTGTGCCATGAAAGGAACATGTTCACAGGAGACACCCTTGTATCGGAGATGGTCATGCCATGATGACATCATAAACAGGTTGTAGAAAAGACGTGCTGAAACTGATCGCGTGTGTAGGACTTTTTTTCGTGCCGGGGGTATCTGAAAAACACGCGTCTTCTTGAACAGAGAAGATAGCGAAAACTCGTAGCCATTAAAAACTCGAAATCCGCACCGTTTTTTTCCGAGACCGAAATAGGGAATAAACTGGGGCTCTATTTAAGCCCAGAAGATGGAAGGAGAAAAAAGGGAAAAAAGGAAAATCGTTTCAAACATTAACCCATGACAGGCTGGCCATATCCATGGGACATGAAATAGGGCGTCTGCTTCATGGGCTCGACACATCCCGGGCAACCGCACTCGGCAACACCGTGCTCCCAACCATTGTGTTGGTGGTAAGGGTAGTGAGACGCATACGACGGTTGACGGTTGGGGTAAAACGTATTGTGAGCCGGAGGCTGGGGGTATCGGCTGCTGTATTGAGCAGCGGCCTGAGCGAACCACTCGTTGTAGCGAGCGTTGCTAGACGCAGCCGACATGGCGTACTCGGGAGTGCCATAGCCAGAGTCCGGAGGAGTAAGAGGGGCATTCCACGGGTTGTTGGACCAAGTGGTCTCGCGAGGGCGGTAGGTGTGCTGCTGGGCCTTCATAGCCTGGTAGCGCTCATACTCTGCGATTTGAGCCTGAATGTAGCGCGAGTGAGGAGAGCAACGGTTGCTGCTGTACCTCGCCAGGTCGGTATCGATGGCAGGGACCAAAGCAGCCAAACGTTCTCGGCTCGCCTGGGCGGCTCGTCGCTTCTTCATCTGCTGCCACTCACGCCAGTTGTCAAGCCAGGCCTGATAGTCCTTGCTTTCATCAAGGTTGACGTAGAGGCGCCAGTTCATGGCCTGAAGCCAATCATACTCCAGAGTGTTGAGCTCAGAGACGGGAATACCGCTAACCTCAGACCAGGATCGGTTCTGAAAGGTGTTGTCATCCAAGAACTTGCTGCCGAGGAGGAGCGAAACGGTGAGGAAACGCCAAACTTGACCCTCGGAGGCCTTGTACGGACCCTGACTCTTCATGGAATTGATTCTCTTGGCGAGATAGTTCATTCCAAGGAGAATGGTCGTACTGGGCAGTCTCGTGGAGGTGAGGATCTGCGACACGAACTTCCGGAAGGGAGAAGTGACGCTGGCCTCAGGGGTAACAACGCGAGTAGCCATCTCGGCGACATACTCAGCCATCATGTCGACCTCATAATCGAGGACGGCACAAACGCCTCCGGGCATGATGACGGTTGAGGAGGAAGTCCGACGAAGATCGAACTGACCTTTGTCGGATGATGAATTCTTGTCAGAGACGAAACAGCTCGCGACGGTGCACGGCTGTCTTGTATGGGGTCTCGTAACAAGAAAGCGAAGATGACGAAGCGGCGCGAGGAAAAAGAAAGAAAAGGTATCGACTTGGCTCTACTGGGATGCAAGAGCCATTTAACGTATATCGTAAATGCCGTGAGGTACGACGATGGGAAATCTGCTGGAAGAGATTTGAAAATGGAAAAAAGGCGTAACAAAATGATATCGCAACGGAGTAGTCGGTCAAAGAGTATGGCCGTCCAAGGTACAGAGTTCGCGAAACGTCGAGTCCAAAGATGGGCCGCAAGCGAGAAGCGAGACCGAGGAAAGGATGGGAGAAAGGATGCAAAGGTGGGATGGAAAAGCTTTCTGAGGACAACGATTAGCACCATACACATATATCGTTCAAGAGCCAAAAAGAAGCCGACGCGCAAGTAGATGAGAGAAGTCAAATCGGATGAACCGAAAGTGTAATGGATGGAAGTATCGGACCCAAGGGTCACAGGGCATTACACATCGGATCGAATTTCGCCACTGGCAAAGGACAGGTGGCCCAATTATCAATAATCAACTCCCATGAGGAGGATATCTCGAGCGGTGATCGATCGATGGCATTGGTAGGCAGCGGGTGAGAGGGTATATGTCAAGACAAATCGTTGGTGTCGCGGCGAGGATACGCGGAGACGTCTCGAGACATGATGGCGACAACAATCGAAAACGACAACGAAACGCAGGTCTACTAACCTCTATGCGATAGAGAGATCCCGGAAGGAGCTTTTAAAAACCCTCCAAAGATGTGAACGTCGAACGGAAGTAGACGTGACCGACTTGACTTGGTAGCGGCCACTGCAGACAAGCCGTGGGAACACAAGAGAAGCTACCTGCACAGCAGCGAGCTGAGAGGTAAACAAAAGGAGTAGGCTCACGCGAGAAACCTGAATCCAGACGTCGACGAACGATGAGAAGTTCGCGACGAGGCTTGTCGTGAAATCGGCGGATTCGGAATTCGGTGGAGGAGGGAAGAGGGAGGGAAAAGGGTTGAAGAAGAAAATATGAAAGAAGAGGTTGAGGTGTGGGAGCGCAGAAGAAGAGCGCGGGCTGGAGATGATGAAGGCTACGGGCGGCACAAGTACGTTGCAGCGACAAGAGCGTTAGGGCATGGGCGGTGGGACAGTGGGTAGCAGAGCAGTAGGCACTAGGTGGTAGGCACTACGAGTAGGTATGGGCTAGGTACCAAGGCGGTGGTGGACACCATGCAGGCGGCGAGGTACCTGGGCCAGTGTTTTTTTTTCTCTCACCTGCCAATCCGCCCAAGGTTCTTTACCGCATTGTACGAGTACCTGTAGGACAGTACCTGTCTCGTGGTACGGGTACTTGGGCGCGGTACCTACTTGGGCTGCGGGCAGGGGTCCTCTGGACTTGTGGGCGGCGCTCCGGTACGAGTACGTCGACTGTCCCGTCTGGTTCTTTTTTTCTTTTTTTTTCCTCTTCTTTTTTTTTTTTGCCCCGGATGGGTGGGGCCAGCAACAGCCACTGACGGGACAACTAGGAGCCTAGCGGAATGGGGGTCGCAGCGCAGGCGCCAGAAAACCCGCCAAAGCCAAGTACCGCCACACCGCAGAGAGGCTTGGACGGTACTTGGCCGGCTATACTTCTCCATGCTCCGCTGCGTCGAATGGGCATAGCGCGGCTCTGGATAATTTTGCGAA